AGGGAGCGCCGGGGTGTAGGCAACGATATCCTGGTTTATCGTTAACCATGGTTTATTCCCCCCCCGGCCACCTGTCACGACAGGCCAGATTTGCCTTGCATGCTAAGCGTTTCAAACCGCCCTGTTGAGTTTGGTGGGGGGTGGGAGGAGGGCGAAGAGCTGAACCAGCCGACCCTGGTTGCAAAACCTTTGCGCAAAGTTGGCCAGCGGCCAAGGACGAAATCGGAAGCGTGGGAACCGATCGGCAAAGCGCGAAGGGAGACCTTCGTGATCTCAGCTTCGCCCCCCCTCCCCAAAAACCCTAAGGGCCTTTTTATTTTTGCAACCCTCTTGCTCTCACCCCAGTTGCCGTCAAAGTTTTCCACGCAGGCCAGAGCATCAGATGAAGATGGGCTTCGAAGCTGCAGGATCGAGGTGGAGCGGGGGGGGTGGGGGTGGAGAGGGGACCGTGAGAAAAATTCCAGGGTTGTGAATCAGGGGTGGGGGGGTGGGTTTCTGGGCAGGAAACCAAGAATTTTGAGAGCAACTGGGGACTAAATCTGAAAAAAAAAGGAGAAATCTCCCAGCTGCTGTTCCCCCGAAGACCCCCCTCCAACCTCCTTCCTAATTTCTCATCTTAAGCCTTGCTGAACTAAAGCCCCCTCCCCAAATCTTCCGCCCCCAGACTCCCACTCAAAGAAACGATAAAGAATTTAAAGTTTCAATGAATCTATCTACCGTGTTTCCCCGAAAATAAGACTTTGTCTTATATTTTTCTGAACCACAAAATAAGCGCTTGGCCTTATTTTTTTGGGAGGTCTTATTTTGGGGCGCGTGGAGCAAGACGGGGCTCCTCTTGCCGTCTTACCTGATTTCCAGCTCTGCGTTTAAATATTTTTGGGGAGGGCTTATTTTAGCGCATGCGCTCAAAAGCCTGATTGGGCTTATTATCAGGGGATGTCTTATTTCTGGGGAAACAGGGCATATACATATATATGTGTGTGTGTGTGTGTGTGTGTGTGTGTGTGTGTGTGTGTGTAGGTCTTTGGTTATTTGGGTTTTCTCCCGCGTAAAATTGGAGGTTTCTTGGCAACGTTTCGACGAAATCTCATTCGTCATCTTCAGGCTGGTGTCTTCAGCTTCGTGCTTCTAGGAGCAATGTGAAACCTCCAATTTTACGTGGGAGAAGACCCGAATAACCAAAGACCTACACATATATATATATATATATATATAACATTTACATTAAATACATATACAGGCAGTCCTTGACTTAGGACCACAATGGTGCCCAAAATTGACATCGCTAAGTGAGACACTTGTAAAATGAGTTTGACCCCGTTTTCTTGCCGCATTTGTTAAGTGCGGCAGTGGTTGAATTAATAACACCGTTGTTCAGTGAATCCGGCTTCCCAATTGGGGGCGGGGGGAAATCGCATGACCCCTGGCACATTGCCACCATCATAAAGGTGAGTCAGTTGCCAACAGTTCTGAATTTTGATCATGTGATCATAGGGATGCTGCAACGGTCATCAGTGTGAAAAATGGCCGTAAGTCCCTTTTTTCAGTCACTAAGTGAGCTGTTGTAATTCGAGGACTACCTGTATTATTTTAAAAGATAATTAAAACAGGAAAACATTGATGGATAACCTGGTTTTCATATATACTCTTAAATAAAATACACAGGTTTAGTTTATAGAGTAGAGTAGAGTAGGGTAGGGTAGAGTAAAGTAGAAGAATAGAGTAGAGTAGAAGAGTAGAGTAGAAAAGAATAGAATAGAATAGAGTGGAAGAATAGAGTAAAGAGTAGAGTAGGAGTAGAGTAGAAGAATAGAGTAGAAGAGTAGAGTAAAGTAGAAGAATAGAGTAGAGTAGAAGAGTAGAGTAGAAAAGAATAGAATAGAATAGAATAAATAGAGGGAAGAATAGAGTAAAGAGTAGAGTAGAGTAGAGTAGAAGAATAAGTAGAAGAGTAGAGTAAAGTAGAAGAATAGAGTAGAGTAGAAGAGTCGAGTAGAAAAGAATAGAGTAGGGTAGGGTAGGGTAGGGTAGGGTAGAGTAGAGTAGAGTAGAGTAGAGTAGAGTAGAGTAGAGTAGAGTAGAGTTGAGAGTTGAGAGTTGAGTTGAGAGTTGAACTGAACTGAATTCTTTATTGGCCAAGTGTGATGAGACACACAAGGAATTTGTCTCCGGTGCATAAGCTCTCAGTGTACATAAAAGCTATAAGTGCTAAATTAGCATGATTAGCCCATAGGCCATATCAAAATACAGACTTCCAAACACAAGTTGTGAATAAAATCCTATAAAAACAATTCAAAATGAAATTGAATTGATGAGGTCCCTTCCAACTCTGTTACTGTAAATAAATCTGAAATAAGTCCTTTATCTTTGATTGTCTGGGTGTCGTTGCCGCCATGTTGGGTTTAAGGCTTCCTCCCGACTGTACATCCAGTTTATGCTTCCTTTTAAACTCTTTTTGAGTCCCCTTTTTTGCTTTTAAACGTTAGCTTTTGCTTTTGCATCCTCGGGGTGGTTTAAAGGATTTTCAAACATACCCCTACTTCATTGGCGAACGCTTGAAGCTGATAAATTCCAGAACTCGTAGCCTAAAACCTAATCCTCTCCCTAATCCTCAACCTAAAATCGCTCCTCCTAATAAAAGAGCTTTACTCAGTTCATATTAGATAAAAATAAACGATTTTACAACCATGTATAAAAGTCACTAAAATAAGAGGATGGGGGAGTTTGCTAAAAGAGCTGTCACACGGCATGACAGATATATATATGTGTGTATATATATATATATATATATATATATATATATATATATATAGCCAGCGTCTGCTTCCCATGACAAGGTCAGCTCGGGAAATTTAATTCGGGAAGGAAAGGATGGTGGGAATTTTTGAAGGAAGATGATTACTTTTCCTAGCCGGTCAAAGGGCAATCTTGAAACGTTGCCCTTCAAAATAAAATCAGTGTTTTTTTTTAAGGGTACAAGAAAGCCTAACAATGTTCTGTGTAGAATGCTAAAATATCCTCCCTTTTTGGATTGAAAGACCACCAAAGACCACCACCCTGGAAGGCATAAATCTGTCTTGCGCACCCCAGAGACTGAGTTTATAGGAGTTGTGTGCGAACCAGACAATTCTGTCTTTTAACTTATCTGAACGAACGAAAACAAAGTATTGAAGAATTATCCCAATCTTATAGAGAACAAGAAGGCAGCCAAGCCAAATGTATAGTCTTAGAACAAAAATATAGATGTTATTATAGATAAATGTATGTTTAAGAGATAAATAAATATACAGAAATAAGGAGAAAAGTATTAATATCATATTATATTATGTTTAAATAATGAACAAAGCTTAAGAACTATATGTACTAATATTATTGTAAAGTGACGGAAGATGTTTGGAACAAGTGATGTCATATCTATGTCCAATGTTTTTTTAATTTTGTGTTATTAATAAAAAAAAATAAGAATTATCCCAATCTTACTACTGGACTCCCAAGCAGTATACTCCCAGCTCTTTACTATTGGAATACACCTCCCATCTTCCCCAGCGAGGTGAGACTGGAATGATACCCCAAAGCAATGGGACCGAATTAGGATCTGTGCAATTTTTCCACCGAGTAGGAGTGTCAAATCGGGACAGAGTCAACCAATTATTAGGGAAAAGTCAGAGAAGTGGAGTGGAGAGATAGTTAAAGGAGCTGAACTCAAACAGGGGGAAAAAAAAATCAGGGTTATAATCCCTGCAATGGAGGGGAATTTGGAGCCTGGCCTACCTCACAGGGTTGTTGTGAAGCTGTACCTCACAGGACGGTGCAAAGAGGCAGCTTAGAAGAGTTAAGCGGGAGATAAGAAGCCACGTTTCCTGCATCTCGGCTACTTTCGGTCGTAGAAGCCGCTGCAACGTTATTAATCATGGTTTACTAGCCACTGTTCTAATCAGGCATCATTAGCATCCTGAGCAAACTGTTCTGGAGGGATCCATTTGATTCAAACCGATCATTATTAGGATGCAAAAAAAAAAAAAATACCGGCTCCCTCCAATTTCCTTGCTCTCTAAATTACCAGCCTCTTTCTTTCAACGGCTGGGGTCTTTTTTTGAAATGCGCCACTTTTTTCTATTTATTTATTTATTTATTTTTAAAAAACCTTCACGGCTTATTTCTCTCCGCAGACGGGGAAACCTCAAACGGTTTTGAGAGTAAAGGGACCTCGTTTCTCCTCCCAAAGCAATCAATTGGATCCTTTGATTAAACTCTTGCAGAGATTTTTTTTGTTTTTTTTTCCCTGGAGGTAGAGAAAAAACTTTTGGAAGCAGAGGGTTGAGCAACCTAGAAATTGGCCAGACAAGAGGTGATAAACCAGCAGAGAAAAGAGGGAGTGGGGGGTAAAAAAAAAAAAAAAAAAAATTTAAAAAAAAATGCATTTAAAAAAAAAAAAACACCAGTGGCCCTAAGGAGAATGGACCAAGATGTTAAGGAACTTTCTGAAGATTTGAAAAGTGGGAAAGTGTCGGAAACGTCAGAAAACTAACGCTGAAAAAGAGAATACAATGGGGTTTTTTTTGTCTTCGCTTGCTTTCGTTTTCAACCTGGCATGTAAACCGGGTTACTGTGGTTCGCAAGCCATGATTTCTGGCTTAGCGTGATCTGTGAAGCCAGCCGTTTTTGCTCGGGAAAAAAACAACGATCTCCTCACCTGCCCTGTGAGAACACAGCTGTTGTTGCTTGCAAACTCTGGATTATCATCCGGCTAATGTCACTTACTTGATGCCCCATAGTTAGAAGAAGAAGAAAAAAAACTCCACAGTTTAGCACAATGGGCAAAACCAGGATTGTTGTCGTACTGTGGCAACAATTGCAAATCATAGCCAAACCCTGGTTGAGATGTTTTCGGCCCGTCTATCTAACTGAGATTCCAGAACGACACCTGAAGAACCTAACCAAGACCTGAGATGTGAACCTCAACGCAAAATCCCGGTCAAACGAATTCCCGCTGACCATACCTGATGGAATCCAGGTTGGGACATTGCATCCCCACCTCGGCCATCGCTTCTCTCCTGCCTGGTTGCACCCCAGAGGGGAGGAGGAGGAGGAGGAGGAAGAAGTGGGGAATCTTCTCAACGCTTCACCAGACCGGCTGCCCCCCTCCGTCCAGCTGCTCCGTCTTCTCTTGCTCTGCCAGCCTTGACCATCCAGGCGCCTCCCTCCCTCCGGGCCTCGGTTTCTCCTCCTTCCCAAGTCCCCGTCCCTCCCTCTTCCCCTGGAATGCACAGCCCAGCCGAGGTTGAGAGCTTCCTCCTCTTCGTCCAGTTGGGTCTGGATCCCTCTCTAATCCCAGTCCCCTGAGATTTACAAAGCCCACCCCCCCTTTCCGAGGGATGAGACAGCTTCTCAGGAGATTGGGGAAGGGGGGGTGTCCATCTCTGGGGTCAGAGCAAGGTAAGAGAAGACCCCTTAAATCAACAACCTGGAGCATGGAAGCACCAGCCAAGTTGGGGCAGTTGAGGACAATTTTGATGGCAGGAGACCAAAGTCCTTTCGTTGTTGTTGTTGTTTTTTTGCAACGGTTGGCAAAAATCCCCTGCCCGGTTCCTTGATCTTCTCTTGTCCATCACCCAAAAAGGGTTGTGTCCCTTGTGTGAGATGGGTTGTGCCCTTTTCTCCCTACTCGTTGCAACGTCTCCCGCCCACCTGCCCATCATCTTCTGCCTGACATAATGGCCTCCTCCTGCTTACTACACAGTAGTGCCCAAAATTGTGGAAACCTTTTTGGGGAAAGTTGTATTTTCTACAACTAGCTAATAACACCACTTTTTTTTTTTTACCCTAAAATTATATCATCGATGGAAAGATAATTGAATCAAGGATGTAATGCATTACTTTTAGGAAGGATTTGCTATTAGAATAGCAGTTACGGGATAAAGACGGAAAGGGAAACACGTAGAAAAAACGAGATATGCAGAAATGATCCCATAGAAAAAAAGATAAACGAGATAGATGCAAAAATGATCCCCATAGAAAAAATGAGATATGCAAAAATGATCCCCATAGAAAAAATGAAATATACAAAAATGATCCCCGTAGAAAAAACGAGATATGCAAAAATGATCCCCATAGAAAAAATGAGATATACAAAAATGATCCCCATAGACCAAAAATGATCCCCATAAAAAATGAGATATGCAAAAATGATCCCCATAGAAAAAACGAGATATGCAAAAATGATCCCCATAGAAAAAATGAGATATACAAAAATGATCCCCATAGAAAAAATGAGATATGCAAAAATGATCCCCATAGAAAAAATGAGATATGCAAAAATGATCCCCATAGAAAAAATGAGATATACAAAAATGATCCCCATGTCAATTAATATTTAGTTGGGTAACCTTTAGCATGAATGACGGCCTTACAACATCTTCCCATGGAGTGAACCAAGTCTTTGAGTTCTGCGGCTGTTATCGTGTGAAACCAAGATGGAATGATGGCTTCTATTAACTGGGTTTTATTGCTGGGTCGCTTCTGACTAACAGTTTCTTTAGTCGGCTCCATAGATTTTCACTTGGGTTAAGGTCTGAGCTCTTCCCAGGCCATTCTAGCAATGGATTAGGATTAGAAACTGCCCCCCAAAAAGTGGTGTTATTAGCCATCAAACCTCAAAAGTACACTTTTCCCAAAAGGTTTCCACAATTTTGGAACTGTAGTAGGCCTGGTTCCTCTTGGCTGCAGACGAGTTCAGTAAGCAGGAAAATCTATCTAGAGTTGAGCAACTTCTAGAAGGTTGGACTTCAACTCCCAGGATTCCTTAGCCAGAGAAGTTCACACCTGTTGCTGAGGTTGAGATACACTATCCTTAGAGGACCTTCCTGGCCATAATTTTGGGGGAGAGTGAGGGGATTTGTCAAATGGAGATAGATCGACATTAGAGAGCTAAGTGTGATGGACCATTAACACAAGCCCTTGGTTTACAACAAGGTTACACCTATCTCACCTGTGTTCTAGGTCCTCTTCTAAAGTTGTCTCTGCAGCCTCTTCGTCTCTAGCCTCCTTGGAAGTTTCCTCACGGGACAGGATTGCTTCTGTGGGCAGATCTTGCTTGAGGTCTTGTTGAGCCGTCGTAGGCTTCTTCTCTTTGGTGGACTTCTTGGACTGCCCAGCGCGGGCCCTCGGCATGGTGCCCAAGTGGCTGTAGGCATCACAAGACTGGGCATAGTGAGATGGACTTAGGGGGAAGACCTCTAGGTCATCCTGAGCCCACTCAAAGGATCTACCTGTTCCTTGAAGACAATCCCGTTCTACCTGCTTTGGTTTCTCCTTCGTTCCTGGGCTGGACACCTCTCCAGGTTCAAGGAAACATTGAGAGGGCTTCTCAGCCTGGACCATCACTTCTGAGGAACCACTTGGACCAACGTTGACTACAGAAGACGACCTCTCTTTCTCGTTGGGTTCTGCTCCTTCTCCACACGATGGAGAACCTGTCTGTGGAACGTCAACCCTCCCCAAGTCTCCAAGCTCCGGGGTCTTCGGCAACGTCGTCTCCAAGGCCTTCTCTTCCCCGTGTCTCTCAACCTTCTGCCTTGAGCTGCCTCTGGGCATGGTGCCCATGTGGGTGAACATGTGGCTGGAACGGGCATAATGCGACGGGCTTTTGGGCCCAGCACCCAACTCGTCTTGAGTGATCTCGAAGCTGAAGGTCAGGAAGCCCTTAGAAGACAGCGACCCCCCTCCGTGGGTCTCGGAGAGTCTGGGGGCAACGGAGATTCTGCGGAAGCCGAAGCTGCGAGGAATGTTACTCAGGCTTCCGAACCCTTTGAGCTTCAAAAACTCTGAAATAAAAACGACAAGGGTCACTTAATTCCCAGGAACGACACCGGCTGAGATTTGCAAGATGTGTGTCTCTCTCTATGTGTGTTTTCCACAAGCTTCCCCCCCAAACCTATTTCTATCTCTTAATTATCGGAAACAAGCTGCACATTGTTGGGGTAATTTTTTCCTTCCCCCAGAGCTCTCTTTTCCTAGCGTGATTTGGAAGGTTTGTTTTTTTTTAAACAAAAATTCTGCTTAACAGGATGCAGAAAATTAGCAGGGTTTTTCTTTTTTGAATAAGAGTTCTGTTGAAAGTTGACGAGTAAAAATCGGTAGCAAGTAGGATAAAGGAAGAAGGAAAAAAGATCGAAGGAAAAATAGAAAAGAAAGTTCCTTCTTTAGATTTTTTTTGTCTATCTTTACAGCAGTTATGGGAAGAGTGGCCAACTTACTTCTAAAGTTATATTGTGACTCTTCTTCTTTCTATAATTTATCCTATAGATAAATTGAACGCACTCTGAACTGAACACACTCGAAACCGTAGAAATGATGGTGGACTTTAGGAGAAACCCTCCCATACTGCCACCTCTTACAATACTAGACAACACAGTATCAACAGTAGAGACCTTCACATTTCTAGGTTCTAAAACGGACACCCAACATCAAAAACGTCATCAGAAAAAGCACAACAAAGAATGTTCTTCCTGCGCCAACTCAGGAAGCTCAAACTGTCCAAAGAGCTGCTGATCCAGTTCTACAGAGGAACTACTGAGTCTGTCATCTGCACCTCCATAACTGTCTGGTTTGGTTCTGCAACCCAACAAGACAGACACAGACTTCGGAGGATAACAATGGCTACCAAACTGCCTTCCATGGAGGACCTATATACTACACGAGTCAAAAAGAGAGCTGGGAAAATATTTACAGACCCCTCACATCCTGGACATAAATTGTTTCAACTCCCACCCTCAAAACGACGCTATAGAGCACTGCACACCAGAACAACTAGACACAAGGACAGTTTTTTCCCCCGAACGCCATCACTCTGCTAAACAAATAATTCCCTCAACACTGTCAAACTATTCACTAAGTCTGCATTACTATTACTATTAATCCAGGGGTGAAATCCAGCAGGTTCTGGAGAACCGGTAGCGGAAATTTTGAGCAGTTCGGAGAACCGTCAAATGCCACCTCTGGCTGGCCCCAAAGTGAGGTGGGAATGGGGATTTTGCAGTATCCTTCCCTCAGGAGTGGGGAGGGAATGGGGATTTTGCAGTATCCTTCCCGTGGAATGGGGTGGGAATGGAGGTTTTGCAGTATCCGTCCCCTGCCACGCCCACCAAGGCACACCACACCCACCAAGCCATGCCCACAGAACCGGTAGTAAAAAAATTTGGATTTCACCACTGTATTAATCTTCTCATCGTTCTTACCTCCCATCTCCTCCCACATATGACTGCATGACTATAACTTTGTTGCTTGTATCCTTACGATTTATATTGATTGTTTCCTAGTATGATTTGATTGCTTATTTGTACCCTATGACTATCATTAAGTGTTGTACCTTATGATTCTTGACGAATGTATCTTCTCTTTTTATGTACACTGAGAGCGTATGAACCAAGGACAAATTCCTTGTGTGTCCAATCACACTTGGCCAATAAAGAATTCTATAGAATCGTCAAAACCAGAGATCATGAGTTCATTTCTTTCCCCCCCCCGCAGAAAAACTCCGTAAGGGGTTTTTCCAGCCACCGATAAATGTAGATAATGTCTTTTTTTCCCCTAATCAAACTTTAATCTAATCACTTCAGCAAGTACAAGCATCTTCATCAACTATCCCTCTGTCATATGTATTGCCAAATCTTTCGTTCTTTGTGCCCACGATAACCTTTATGCGAGTATCGCGTATAAAAACGTGACTTTGTTTTCCCAACTTTTTAAATCTATAAAGATTTAAATCAAGAGGAGAAATGTAGTTTTAGGTGCGTGTGAATTTCCTCCCACTTATGAGGGTAGGACTGTAACTTTGTTGCTGGTATCCTTACGATTTATATTGATTGTTTCCTACTATGATTCGATTGCTTATTTATTCCCTTTGACTATCATTAAGTGTTGTACCTTATGATTCTTGACGATTGTAGCTTTTCTTTTATGTTCACTGAATTCTATTCTATTCTATTCTATTCTATTCTATTCTATTCTATTCTAT